ACACACACACACACACACACACACACACACACACACACACACTGCTCTGTGTTGCAAGACACTGGCAGTACCAGCATAAGAGTAGGCAAATTAACTGGGTACTCAGGGTGAGTATTTGAGTAAATCTGAGTGCTCACAGGATGAGGAGATGAGCATTAGCCACTAAGAGCCAGGGGAAAGTACTCCAAGGAGTAGCTGATAAGGAAAAGCTGACGACTGAGCCCTTAAGAATGTGCCTAGAGCAGTGTGCCAAGAAAATGATGAGAAAGACATATCTACTGGGACCTAGAAGATAGCCCATTGATTACAGTCTGATAAGGATTTTGGCTTTAAAAGAAAAGAAAAAGAAAAGAAAGAATTATGGCTTTAAAAAAATGATAGAGTTTGAAATAGAAAAAAAAAAAATTATATGATCTGACCTAAAGCAGGTATGTTTAAAACAGACCACAGGGGACAAAGATGGAAACAAAGAGATGACAAAAGAGTTGTTAGCATAATATAGATGAAAAGTGATGGCAATGAATGACAGCTAACATAAGGTGCAGAGAGTCAACAGATTTCACAAACACTGGATATGGAGCACAAGGAATAAAAGCGTACAATTCTTGGACTAAGAAACATTTAGGTAAAGGCCATAAACTGCAACACTAAAGGCAGATAAGTAGAGTATTTGAGGGTGAGGGTAAGTTGGAGATGTCCTACAAATGAAGTGAGGAATAGGTATTTAAGGAGAAAGACAAGATCATCTGTGTCAAATGCTGCAGAAAGGTAAAAAGAGAAGAGAACTCAGATTAGCAATTTAGGTCAACAGGGACCATGACTTCTTCCAAGACATTTGGAATAGGAAAGTACAGGGGAGATAGAGGCTGATGGTATAAGTCAGTGGTAGACTACTTGCTCCACAAGAATAATAAAGGAGGAAGAAAGGAGAAGAGGAAAGAGGACAGGAGGAATGTGAAGAACGAGAGGGAGGGGGACAAGGAGACAGCTGCAATGGCAGAAGCAGCCGTGAAGAGATTAAAAATAAGGACCACTATGTGGTGGGAAAATTGAGAGCCAAGGAAGGCTAAAGAACATACCATATTTAACTACTGCCATCACAGGAAAAACAAGTGCTCTTGTCAAAGTTAAGTGCCATCTAAGAAAAAGCAAGAAGCAGATGCAGCGATTCATGGCCAGGTGCCAGGCCGAGCTCCAGGAGTCCAATCAATGAGAGAGAAGAGGGATTCTATGAGTGAGGGATATTGAGATCATGATGGGAAAACGTACAGACGGCCAAGCAAACTAGTGGAAACCCATGAACTGTGGACCAATAGCTGTGAAGCCCCCAGTGGACTGGACTAGGCCTTCTGGATAGGTGAGACAGTTGTATAGCTCGAACTGTTTGGGGGGGGGGGGAGCTGGCAGTGGAATCAAGCTCTGTCCCTGGTGAATGGGCAGGCTTTTTGAAGCTCAATGCTATGGTGGGACACCTTGCCCAGCCTTGGCTCAGGGGGAAGGGGCTTGGACCTGCCTCAATTGAATGTACCAGGCTCTTCTGACTCCTTATGGGAGACCTTGCCTTGGAGGAGGTGGGAATGGGAGGTGCGTAGGGGGAAAAGGCTGGGGGGCAGGAGGAGGGATGAGAGGGGGACCTGTAGTTGGTATGTAAAATGAATATAAAATTTCTTAATAATCTCCAAAGCGAGTTCCAGGAAAGGCGCAAAGCTACACAGAGAAACCCTGTCTCGAAAAACCAAAAAAAGAAAAAAAAACTGGGTTGGGGATTTAGCTCAGTGGTAGAGTGCTTGCCTAGCAAGCACAAGGCCCTGGGTTCCGTCTTCAGCTCTGGGGGAAAAAAAAAAAAAAGAAAAAAAATAATTAATCTGAATTTACAACACAGACAAATAAAGAGGAAGATATTACTCACCATTCCTTAAGATCATTCAGTAATTTCTGAAGGAGTGATAATATATTATGCTCAAGCGTTTCAAAGAAAATATACTCAAAAAAGAACAAACAAACTCTCAGGGTAAAATAAAACCACTAAAACAAAAGAAAAACACACCAAAGAACTAGCTAGACATTCCAGAAATGAAAAATGTATGTTCAAAACTAAAAATAAAAAATTCCTTCATCAGACACAGTAGTGGACTGAGGAAGATGAGACCTCTAGCCAGTGAAAACCGCACACTAGAAGAGGAGCAGTGAAGATGATTTTACAAAGACAAGCACAAGGACATGTATTCAAGAGATGCTGAATGTCCTTTGGATGAGGACAAATGGAACCCTGGATCGTCACAAAAGGAAGAGTATAGAATTACAGCAGGAAGTTAAGAGATTATGGTTCTTTTAATACATTTAAAAGGTATATGACTGTTTTGAAAGACCTAACGATAAATGATCAATCAGCGTGAGGTGTGATCCTACTTTCTTAATAGCTAGGAGACAAAGTACCTGCTTTAGTTTCAGAAAGAAGTTCTCAGTAGTGCTGCGTTTGCTGAAGGGCCAAAACAACCTTTCATTAGGTGAACAAACTCGAACTTTCGTCTCCAGGAGAAATCGAACAGGCTCCTGTACTTCTGTTATCACCAAATCCACAGCTGTTGTCATGAACAGCACTTTATCTAGAAAGGGAGAGAAACAAGAAAGAAATAAAGGTGGAAATATATTTGCTCATGTAGTCACTGAAGAAGTAACTGGTTTTAATTATAAGTATTCAAGATATCTTAGGGTCAACCATCACATCAGAATTCTGATCCTGGGCAGCGTCGCAGAAGTACAAGGAGAGGGGGCAACAGTCCAGCAGAAAAAGTTACAGTCAGACTGTGTCTGCCAAAGTGCTACATATCTCTTAAGTCTCCTTCACATACCCTTTACAGTCTCAAATTTTAAATTTGGTTAATAATGGCTTAAAAAAAAAAAAAAAAACAACAGGTGTCCAAAACCAAAAAAAAAAAAAAAAAAACCAAAACAGGAATTAACAATCACTGTCGTTAATATCTCTTAATATTAATGGACACAATTCACCTATAAAAAGACACAGACTAACAGAATGGACATGAAAACATGATCCATCCTGCTGCTGCCTACAAGAAAAACACCTCAACTTCAAAGACAGACATATCCTCAGAGTAAAGGGTTGGGAAAAGATTTTCCAATCAAGTGGACCTAAGAAGCAAGCTGGTGTAGCTATCCTAATATCTAACAAAATAGACTTCAAACTAAAATTAATCAAAAGAGATGGAGAAGAACATTTCATATTCATCACAAGAAAAACTCATCATGATGAAATCTCAATTCTGAACATGTGTGTTCCAAATAAAAGGACACCCACATTTGTAAAAGAAACACTACTAAAGCTTAAGTCACATATCAAACCTTACACGTTAACAGTGGGAGACTTCAACACCCCACTCTCACCAATGGACAGGTCTGCCAAGTAGAAACTTAACAGAGAAATAAGGGAACTAACAGATGTTATGACTCAAATAGACTTAAAAGATATCTACAGAACATTCCACTCAAACAAAGAAGAATATACCTTCTCAGCACCTCATGGAACCTTTCTCAATTTGACCACATACTCACTCACAAAGCAAGTCTAAACAGATTTAAAAAAAATTGGAATAACCCCCCTGTATCTTAACAGATCAGCATGAGTTAAAGTTGGAGTTCAACAACAACACACATTACAGAAAGCCTACAAAGTCATGGAAACTCAATAATACTCAACCGAATCACCACTGGGTCAAGGAAGAAATAAAAAAATTGAAGACTTCCTAGAATTCAATGAAAATGAAAACACAACATACCCAAACTTATGGGACATTATGAAAGCAGCGCTAAGAGGAAAGTTCATAGCACTAAGTGCCTAGATAAAGAAGTTGGAGAAGCTGGAGGCGGTGGCACACACATTTAATCCCAGCACTCAGGAGGCAGAGCCAGGTAAATCTCTGTGAGTTTGAGGCCAGTCTGATCTACAGAGTGAGATCCAGGACAGGCACCAAAACCACATGGAGAAACCCCGGCTCGAAAAACTAAAAAAAAAAGAAGAAATTGGAGAAATCTTACACTAGCAACTTAACAGCACACCTGAAAGCTCTAGAACAAAAAGAAAAAAAGAAACTAACTCACTTAGGAAGAGCAGACAACAGGAAATAATCAAACTCAAGGCTGAAATCAATAAATTAGAAACAAAGAGAGCAATACAAAAAAATCAATGAAATAAAAGAATTGTTTCTTTGAGAAAATTAACAAGATAGCCAAACCCTTATCCAAAGTAACCAAAAGACAGAGAGAGAATACCCAAATTAACAAAATCAGAAATGAAAAAGGAGACATAACAACAGATGTTGAGGAAATCCAGAGAATCATCAGGTCTTACTTCAAAAACCTGTACTCCACAAAATTGGAAAATCTGAAAGAAATATACAATTTTCTTGATAGGTACCACATACCCAAACTAAATCAAGCCCAGATAAATAATTTAAATAGAACTATAACCCCTAGGAAATAGAAGCAGCCATTAAAAGTCTCCCAACCATGATACCCAAACCATACAAAGATGCAACAAAGAAAGAGAATTACAGACCAATTTCATTCATGAACATTGATGCAAAAACACTCAATAAATACTGGCAAATCAAACCTAAGAACACATTAAAAAATCATCCACCATGATCAAGTAGGTTTCATCCCAGAGATGCAGGGATGGTTCAACATATGAAAAGCTGTCAACATAATTAACCATATAAATAAACAAAGAAAAAACCACTTGCTCATCTCTTTAGATGCTGAAAAAGCCTTTGACAAAATCCAACACGCCTTCATGATAAAGGTCCTAGAGAGATCAGGAATACAAGGAACATACCTAAACATAATAAAAGTAATATACAGCAAGCTAACATCAAATTAAATGGAGAGAAACTCAAAGCAATCCCCAATAAAATCAGGAACAAGACAAGGCTGTCCACTCTCTTCATATCTATTCAATATAGTACTCAAAAGTTCTAGCTAAAGCAGTAAGACAACAAAAGGAGATCAAGGGAATACAAACTGGAAAGGAAGAAGTCAAACTTTTGTTATTTGCAGATGATACGATGGTCTACATAAGTGACCCCAAAATTTCTACCAGGAAATTCCTACAACTAATAAACACCTTCAATAATGTAGTGGGATATAATATTAACTCAAAATTAGTAGCCCTCCTATATACAAATGATAAATGAGCCAAGAAAGAAATCAGAGAAACAATACTCTTTACAATAGCCAAAAATAATATATCTTGGGGTAACCCTAATGAAACAAGGGAAAGACCTGCATGACAAGAACTTTAAGTCTTTGAAGAAAGAAGTTGAAGAAGATGGCAGAAAATGGAAAGATCTATCTCCCATGCTCATGGATAGCATTAACATAACAAAAATGGCGATCTTACCAAAAGCAACCTTCAGATTCAATGCAATCCCTATAAAAATCCCAATACAATTCTTCACTGACCTTGAAAGAACAATACTCAACTTCATATGGAAAAACAAAAAACCAAAAATAGGGGCTAGAGAGATGGCTCAGAGGTTTGAATCACTGGCTGCTCTTCCAGAGGACCAAGGTTCAATTCCCAGCACCCACATGGCAGCTCACAACTGTCTATAACTCCAGTTTAAGAGGATCGGGGGTGAAAAAAAAGGGGCGAGGGGGATCCGGCACCCTCACATAGACATATATGTAGGCAAAACACCAATGCACATAAAATAAAAATAAGTAAATTGTTTAAGAAAAACCTGGGGGTTGGGGATTTAGCTCAGCGGTAGAGCACTTGCCTAGCAAGCACAAGGCCCTAGGTTTGGTCCTCAGCTCTGAAAAAAAGAAAAAAAAAAAGAAAAACCCAGGATAGTTAAAACAGTCCTGTACAATAAAGGAACTTGTGGAGGCATCACCATCCCTGACTTCAAGCTCTACTATAGAGGTATAGTAATAAAAACAGCTTGGTATTGGAATAAAAACAGACATGCAGATCAAGGGAATCAAATCAAAGACCCTGACAAAAATTGACACATATATGAACACCTGATTTTTGATCAAGATGCCAAAATTATACAGTGGAAAAAAGAAAGCATCTTCAACAAATGGTGGATGTCGGCATGCAGAAAAATGCAAAAATATCCATATCTGTATCCCTGTATAAAACTCAAGTCCAAGTGGCTCCAAGACCTCAACATAAATCCAGATACATTGAACCTGATAGAAGAGAAAGTAGGAAGTAGCCTTGAATGTATTAGCACAGGAGGCCACTTCCTGAATACAACATCAGTAGCACAGACACTGAGATCAACAATTAATAAATGGGACCACCTGAAACTGAGAAGCTTTTGAAGGGCAAAGGACATGGTCAACACAACAGCCTACAGAATGGGAAAAGATCTTCACCAACCCCACATCTGATAGAGGACTGATCTCCAAAATACATTAAAAAAAAAAAAAATCCTCAAGAAACTAGACATCAAAATATCAAATAATCCAATTTAAAAATGGGGTATAGATCCAAACAGAATTCTCAACATAAGAATCTCAAATGGCTGAAATACACTTAAAGAATTGTTCAATATCCTTAGTCATGAGAAAAATGCAAATCAAAATGAATCTGAGATACTATCTTATTTATACCTGTCAGAATAGCTAAAATCAAAAACACTGATGACAGCTTATGTTGGAGAGGATGTGGAGTAAGAGGAACACTCCTCCACTGCTGCTAAGAATGCAAACTTGTATAGCCACTTTGGAAATCAGTATGGCATTTCTCTGAAAATTGGGAATCAACCTACCTCAAGACACAGCTATACCACTCTTGAACATATACCTAAAGGATGCTCAATCATACTATAAGGACACATGCTCAACTATGTTCACAGCAGCATTATTCATAATAGAACATGGAAACAACCTAGATGGCCCTCAACCAAAGAATGAATAAAGAAAATGTGATACATTTACACAATGGAGTATTACTCAGCTGTAAGAAACAATGACCTCATGCAGGCAAATGGATGGAACTAGAAAAAAAAAAAAATCATTCTGAGTGAAGTAGCCCAGACCCAGAAAGACAACCATGGTATGTACTCACTCATATTAGGATATTAGGAGTAAAATATAGGATAACCAGCCTACAATCCACAGCCCCAGAGAGGCTATATAACAAAAAGGACCCAAAGAGGGATGCTTAGATTTCCCTGGGAAGAGATTTCCTGGGTAAAAGGGGTGGGGGAAACAGAGGGATGGAAACTTGAGGAAACAGGTTGGGTGGGTTGGGTGCTGGTATGGGAGGCAGGTTAGGGTCGGGATGGAGGAGTAGAGTAAGGAAAGAGACATCTTGATGGGGAGCCCATTTTGAAGTTAGGGAGAATCCTGGTGCCAGGGAGACCCACAGGAATCCACAAAGACGACCCTAGATAAAACTCCTAAAAATAGTGTAGAGAGTGCCTGAACTGGTCATGTACTGTAATCAGATTGGTGACGACCCTAACTGTCATCACAGAGCCTTTATCCAGTAACTGATGAAAGTAGATGCAGAGATCCACAGGCAAGCACTAGGCCAAGCTGCGAAAGTCCTGATGAAGAAAGGAAGGAGCGATTGTATGAGCCAGGGGGATCAAGGTCATGATGGGGGAACCCAAAGAGACAGCTCACCTGAGCTTGTGGAATTTCATGGACTCTGGGCCAATAGTTAGAGAGACTGCATGGGACCAACCTAGGCCCTCTACATGTGTGTGACTGTTGCATAGCTTGGTCTGTTTGTACGCCCCAAGCAGTGAGATCAAGACCTGTCCCTGGTGCTTAACTGGCTTTTGGGAACCTGTTCCCCATGCTGATTACCTCGCCCAGCCTTGCTGCAGGGTGAGGAGCTCAGTCCAGCCTCAACTTGATGTGCCATGCTATGTTCAAGCCCATGGGAGGCCTGCCTCTTTCTGAATGAAGATGGAGGAGGGGTGGATGGGGAGGGGGTAGATGGAAGTGGGAGGAGGGAATGGGAGAAGAGGAGGGAGGGGAAACTGTGGTCAGTATGTAAAATAAATGAAAAAAAGTTAATTAAATAAAAACCAACCAACCAACCAAAGAAAAAAACCCCAAAACAGGTTGTTACTATGTTGCCCTAGCTGGCCTCAATTTCACAGCTAAATGCTTGTTGCTACCTCCAGAATGCTGGGATTAAAGGTGTGCGCCACCACTGCCCAGCGCACTTACGCAAGTGTAATGATAAAATGGAAAGAAAAATGAGAAGGGAAGGAAAGGAAAATAAATAAGCAAAAGTGATATTGTTTTTAGGTTAAATTTAAAAAGAAACTCAAGAATTATTCAAATTATTTGTTTCACCAAAGTTTCCTAATAATGTGTATGTTAAAAATCTCTATCATCAAGCCAGGTGTGGCGGTGTGCACCATTAATCTCAGCACTTGGGAGGCCAGGCAAGAGGATTTCTTTGAGTTTAAGATAAGCCTGGTCTACATAGCAAGTTCCAGAACAGTCAGGACTACACAGACTCCACGTCTTAAAAACCTAAAACCCTGCTGGGCGGTGGTGACACACACCTTTAATCCCAGCCTTCAGGAGGCAGAGGCAGGTGGATCTCTGTGAGTTCCAGGCCAGCCTGGTCTACAGAGTGAGTTTCAGGACAGGCTCCAAAAATAAGCAGAGAAACCCTGTCTCAAAAACAAAACCATAAAACCCAAACAAATACAAAAGGAGTGTCACCTGTGGTCTGGACCGATGGCTCAGTGGTCAAGAGTACTTGCTGCTCTTTGGGAGGAGCCAGGATTAGTTCCCACCACCGAGAGTGCAGCCCATAATTATCTGTAATTATCTACAGTTTCAAGAGATCTGACATCCTCTCTGACCTCTGTCTGCATCAGGAATGAATGTGTTATACAGATATACATGTAGCCAAAACACCCATACATGTAAAGTAGGAATAAGTAAGTCTTAAAACTGCACCACCTTTAGGAGTTTCTTCATTCACAACTTGAAAATGTGGGGATTTGGGATTCCAGCTTCCAGTAATAACATATGACTTTCCATCTGAACTTTTGCCCATAGACTCCTAAAGAAAAGAGTAAAATTAACCTTAATGTAAAAGTGGGCTAATCCTCATCTTGAGGCTTTTAAAAAAACAGGAATTCTCAAAATACATAATTTTGGTAAGGACTGTACTGATTTTTAATAGTTTATGTATATTTGATACACAATGAAAAAGTCTCCAAATTACATACTAAAACCATACAGGAATCTAAAGTCCTGCAAAAATTTTACATTTTGAGTTACCCTGAACTACAGCAGCTTATGATCTCTTCCACATCCCACAATAGACATGTTTTGAGTCTAATGTGATAAAGTAAACGGATACATTAATGAAACAGAAATAGTTTATAACCTGCTAATAAAACCAACCGCCAAAACAACACACAAGAACCTTACCAAGTCCAACAAATGCATATCGCTATTTCGGACATCTTTTCCTGGGCTAAGAAGAAGGCCAAAGCACCTGGAAAAAAAAAAAAAAGAACTGACATAAACTTGTGATTAAAACAAACAGCATACACATATATTTTAAGTTATGTCACTTAAAAATTATTTTCTTATGGGTGGAAAGGGGCATTCTAATAAAATACAATCATCATCTTTACCTGAGCTAAAGATGTCTCTTATTGAGACATCTTTATTTGTCTTTTATTACCATTTACTGGAGATTAGCACTATTAACTGAAGATTTATAAGAGTGATTTCAGAGTAATGAAACACTCACTACAATAAGTACAAAAGAATTACCAAGAGTTGGGCAAGGTGGCACACTCCTTTAAATCCAGCACTAGGAGGCAGAGGAGTGTGGATCTCTGTAATTCGAGGCCAGCCTGGTCTACAAAGCGAGTTCCAGGACAGCCAGAACTACACAGAGAAACCCTGTCTTGAAAAACCAAAAAAGAATTACCAATAAGTCAAAATACTTTGCAAATGAATTTTTAATACAGTGTATGACTATTTCACTAGACAGATAAAAAGCCAAAATTCATATTTAAGATAAACATACAGAGAAATGTTTACCTTTCAATAGCAAGTTCTTTGTTAGCTGTTTGCTGCACACAGATGACAATCTTCTTATCTATTCCCTGTCGAAGTTTAAAGCACTGCCTGTCCTTGTCCTTGGGAACAGCACTGTAAGGTCAACACATTTCATTAATGTCGCAAACAATTTTCTTATCAGAAACCATAACAATTATTTTAAAGATCTCAAATTTCTGATTCTTTTCTGTCTGGTTTATTAGTAGTAGAAAAAAAGAAAATAGAAGTGAGTATGAATAACAAAATAGAAAAAAGGGTAACTAATTTATTTATTGTCTAACCATGACGAGTTATTGTCCTTAGGTAGTGATAACCTTATGGTCTAAATACTAATGCTGCTGTTATTAAAATGATTAGCTAACAAATGCCAGCTTAAGAGAGATTAAAATAGTCTTAAAATGCCTCTTTACCAGAACAATGACCTAATCACCCACATACTCTCTAGCTGCACTGTCCTCCCAGGTGACAGCAGCAGTGGCAACTCACCTTTGGGGAGCAAGTCTAAACTACCTTATTGCTTTAAAATACTAATCGAATGGCAACAGAACTACTGGTAGATAAAATACATGAATAGCTGAAAACTGGTAGGTATTCATCACCTAAATACTACTTATGTAGTATTTATGTATGTGCATTTGTGTATTTGCCAATCCAATATTTTGTAACACTTTTCATTACAAAGCAAAAAATTCCAGCAAAAGAGTTTAGAAATGACAACCATGTTCAAGGAAATATTTTGCATTCCAATCTGTTAAATATTTCTGGCAGACAGGCCTCAATTTTCAACTGTCCTTATATGTACCTTAGTCTCTAATGGTCTAAGGATAATTAAGTGTAAGCAAATACACTCTCTCTCAGCAATTTGAAACACTAATAGGCTGTGTAAGATACAACTCAGCAGTAGAGTGCTTGCCTAATATGCCCTGGGTTTAGTCTCTAGTGCCATGGAACAACATGCCTCAGTACATACAGAATGTCTCTGAGGTCACTAACCTAAATGGATACATTACAGGAAGCAGATGGACAATATAGTTAGTAGGAAATCACTTAACTGAACACCGGGGGCTTTCTTGTCCTGTGACTATGTTACCCAAACAAGAAACTTTACATTCAATTCCCACTGTACAACTTATGGAACTAAGATCAAGACTTGGGAGGCTGAAGAGCAATTTCATCTGAGTTGCTCAGAAGGTTAAATGAGAACAAATCAATCAATCAATCAATCAAGAAACCAACGAACCAGCTAGCCAACCAACCAATCGTTTTGAAAGTTTTCCAGGAGTAAACTTTTATAAGCTACTTTGTAATTACAACAATGTAAGACGTATTTTTGTTAAATGAAATTGTCATTTCTACCAGATGTCATGAAAAGTACAGAGACACAACAGTTTCAGACAAAACCAGTCAGCCATGTACATTTTCCTCATAATTTGATTTTAACCATTTTATGAGACATCACAGAAGAGATTTGTGCATGCAACTATTAATTATGAGCATTCATTTTCTGATGTGAGCTATATGAAGAAACCATCACTTTAGACAGAAAGAATCTGAGTCTGGCCAGTGCACTTTACAAGGAAACTACAGACATGAGAGGCAAAGAACTGCAAGATGGCCACAATTAAAAAATACAGATCAATAATTAGTCATCTATGATAATCACACTTATAGTCATGTTAGTTAAGTTTTCTAGGTATACATAGATATAATTCAATTAGGTAGGTAATCTTCAAACACTTCAAAGACCTACAGAATATGGAATTTAAAATGTTTTAAAAACTTAAGACTTTCTGGACAGTGAGACACCTCTGTTCCTGGCAGCAGCGATTTACTTCAAAGAGAAAGGTGGGCATCAAAGACACTCCATATGGAATTTATCTTCTTGGCAAAATAGCCATTTGGGCAAGAAACTGTTCTTGCCTGGACTGCTTGACAAAATGTATCGACTGGACATGCAGGACCCATAGGAAGGTGACCACTGAACTTTGCAAGGCAAGATGCTCCTTCAGGTTCCTGCTTCGCAAAAGAAACTGCCAGACATTCTACAGGACAGAGATAGAAGTGACCGAGAGACTTGTAGGCTGAAGAATGGATGCCCCAACATTGAAGAACTTTGGGTGACTGTCCAAGCAGCAAGCTGTCTCTGTCATTCTAAAATTTTTGGAAGTTACTTAAAATCCTCCTTCTCTTTACTTAGGTAATATTATATCCTTCTGAGGTCTTTGATGTAGTTGAAGACTAGATAGTTATAATTTTCCTTGGTCATGATAAAAGATAAATTAGACATGAAGCTTTAGACTCACAAATATAGGATAGATATTTTCTTTAATTTTACAAAATACAAATAGAGTAGATATTGTAACTGTAATTCTTGCTTGATATATATAATTTTACTAGGTTAAAGTTAAAACCTTCCTTTTGTTTAGACAGAAAAGGGGAAATGATGGGGCAATGTCATTGTTTATGCTGTGAATATGTGTTTCTCTGATTGGCCAGTAGCCAGGCAGGAAGTATAGGTGGGGCAAGCAGACAAGGAGAATTCTGGGAAGAGGAAGGCAAAGTAAGGAGTCCCAGCCAGACACAGAGGAAGCAAGATGACAAGGCAGAACTGAGAAAGGTACCAAGTCATGTGGCTAAACATAGGTAAGAATTATGGCTTAATTTAAGTGTAAGAGCTAGTCAGTAATAAGCCTGAGCTAATGGCCGAGCAGTTCATAAATAATATAAGCCCCTGTGTGTTTACTTGGGTCCCCGCGGCTGTGGGACTGGCGGTTGAGAGAGATTTGTCCTGACTGCGGGCCAGGCAGGACACAGGAAACCTTCCAGCTACAAGTTTCTCCTGTACCACAGATAATAGTGTACTAAATAAATTCACAAAATAAATAAGGTGAGATGCTCTACCTAAAATAACCTTTACCATCATCTTCTTTTATTTCTAAAGACACAGAGAAGGTAAAGATGTCACTGTCCGGAGTCTGCGGCATGGCAGTGGCTGAGAGTGGGGTCTGCTTGGCAGTACGGCGGAAGGCAGTGGCAAAACTGTAAAGTATCCGGCTTACCTACAAGCAGACACGTCAGGAGATTGGCTGTTATTGTTAAGACAGAAAACACACTCTCTCCCCCCACTGATTCACAAAAGCATTTGTCACACAATATCCTTTACATGAAACAAGCAGAACCAACTTTCAGGGATATGGCTCAGAATAGCAGCTAGGTTTTTTGGGGTGACAGGGGTGTAACAAAAGGGATCATTCCCGAATGCTGGGCATGCTCTGTAACTTGATCTGGGTAGTAGTAGAAACCCATCAGGCGTCCTCTGAGGAGGTCTGAACTTTACACAAAGCCCTTCTGGGGGTGATGAGGTGACAAAGCAGATGAAGGGACTTTATGTGCCAGCCTAGTAATCAGAGCCAGATCTGTAAGGAGAGGACCAATGCACAAAGTTGTCAACTGAATTCCACACTTAACATGTACACAAATGTGATCATAATAAATATATAAAATAAGCAAATTACTTATTTTTGAGGGTAAATGTTTATTTGCTTGGGAGAAGGTAATTACTTGTCTTTCCCTGACCTACCCTTTTCAGTTAATTATCTAATGTTTGGTTTCTAAAACAAAATCATCAGAGAGAGATTTTTAAAAAACAGATAGTTAAAACACACACACACACACACACACACACACACACACACACAATTAAAAAAGCCTAACTGAAAAAAGTGTATGTAAATATACTTTTAATAACAAGAATGGCTCTAACAAGTTTAGGACCCACTTACAACAGAACAGCTTGCAAATGTGTCACTGTCTGGATTAGATCCACATTCTTTACCCTATCAACCTGTCACCAACAGGCCTCTTACAGCACTGTATGTGCAAGTTCACGGGTGTGCTCACTGGTGTGTGCATAGGTCTGTGGTTATTCTCAATTTTTGGAGAAGAGTCTCTCATTGAACCTGGAACTCTTGTTTAGACTAGAATGGCTAGCTGTCAAGCCCCAGGATCCACCTATGCAGAGGATGGACTCAGGTCCTCATGACTGATTGTGCAGAAAGCATTTTACCCACTGTGGATCTCCCTGTCCTGTGGAACTTGCAAGAACAGAGACAATGGTGAAATCTCATCTGTAGTTCTCTCAAAAAGACTTACGGCTTCTTGTATTTCACAGCGAAAGACATGTATCCTGAAGAGCTCTGCATTATAGTGACTTTCAGTGAATGCAAAACAGTCGCTCTCAGGAGTCCCATCATGCCCTCTGACACAGAAGAGGATCTTGTAGATAGGGTAGTTAGCTATTTCAGTGTTGATCTGAGGATCTAAAAGTCTGTTCAGACCAAAAAAAAAAAAAAGATTATGAGCAACTTGTACTGTATTTATATTAGGATTCAAGACATCTGTCCAGAAAGATGATCACGTAAGCCACTTTTAGTATGCTAGCCATGCTAATGTTGAATTGTGATATGTAAGTCACATAGGGATGCTGAAGATATTGATCATATAATTCCATGGTACCCAGTCTGAGACTTGTATGTTTGGGAGAGGCCTATAGAAAGGTATCAACATCAGCAAACATGACTCTCATAGCCTGCAACTAAAATAAAGACAAAACCAGTACATAAATTAAGACTAACTAAACAGACTGTGAAACCTTTGTATCTGGTTATCTTCTTAAAAGAATGTTCTGTTTATAAAAGTTAAAAAAAAAATCACAGTGCATGACTGAACACAAAAACCAGTGTTCAAAAAAACCACACATTAAATCCAAAAGATGATAGTTAATACACATAAAAAAACACCATTCAATCAAATCTACTAACTCCACAAGTATTTATGTGATAGCTACAATGTTTTAGACTCTGTTAAAGGACTAAAGACAGTTATGAAAGTCAAGAAGGAACTACAGGGCAAAGCCATCAATGGGAAAATGTCCTAGGAGCCTGGTTCAAAATGGAAGAACCCAAAAGGGGCTCTAACCCAGGTTAAAGACACTTTCACAAAGGCACTGAGAATGTGGGGCAAGATAGATATGTTTTCTCATTTCCTTACAAAAGGAAAATATAGAACAAAGTATAATTTCAGTTGTTAGAATAAGCATTCACTTTGAAATGCACATTAAAAGTAATCAATTAAAATTAGAATTTGAGATTTTGAAACTGATGCTCAGAGACAAATTACATGTTCAGATTAACTATTTAGCTTCCTACTGCTGTGGGATGTCTTTCTGTACTCTGTGAATATGTGTTGCTCTAACTGGTTGATAAATAAAGCTGCACTGGCAGGGTAGGATGGAGCCAGCTGGGAAAATCCAAGAGAGATAATGAAAGGAGATAGGAGAGCAAGGGGAGATGCCAAACTGCCGTCCAAGGAGCAAAATGTAATGGGACACAGGTAAAGCCACAGAACATGTGGCGATACATAGATAAATAGAAATGGGTTAATTTAAGATGAAAGAACTAGCTAGCAAGAACCCTGCCATAGGCCACATAGTTGGTAATTAATATAAGCCTCTGAGTGATTATTTTGTAAGTGGATATGGGACGGTGGAGCCGAGTAGGACCGGAGAAACTTCTGCTACACTACTTTCCAGATATAGCTGCTATGCTGCTACTATGAAAACCCAGCATGTTTCTAAGGGTTCTGTAAAACACAGAAAGCTCTTCTCAAAGTATAAAATGGATCAACTATTTCTAAACTAACAAAAGCAGTAACAATGGGGAAACTTCTGAGCCAGTGAATGTATCAGGAATGTATTCTAAGGAAATAAAGATCCAGCCAATTACCCACCCACTTATAAAGCACTCAGATGCCTATACAATAACTGATAATATCAATACTTTTCTCATTAAAAGAAAAACCCCTTAAAATGTCTAACATTAGAAATAGTTAGGCTGGTCAGGCAGTGGTGGCGCACACCTTTAATTCCAGCACTTGGGAGGCAGAGGCAGGCAGCTCTCAGTGAGTTCGGGGACAGCCAGGACTGTTAACACAAAGAAACCTTGTCTCTAAAGACCAAAGGAAAAAAAAAAAAAAAAGAAAGAAAACAGGAAGAAATAGTTGGGCTGGAAAGATGGTTCAGGAGTTAAGAGCATTGGCTGCTCTTCCAGAGGTCCTGAGTTCAATTCCCAGCACCCACATGGAAGCTCACAAATGCCTGTAATTCTAGTTCTAGGGCACCAGATATGCACATAAATAAAAAATTAAAAAAAAGAAATGGTTACTAATCTGTTTATGTACCATCATAAACAAAACTTAAGCAAAACTGCTGACATGTTAAAAGGTTCACAATATAAAAGCAAATGAAGGAAGTATAAATACACATCATGTGTAATTCCACTGCCAGAAAAAATGTTGACTGATATATTCATATGTGCATGTGTATGTAGAATTATAAGTACATACACAGACATAGGCCCATATATACCTTATGACTTTAGTATGAACTATCTTCCCAGACTCGTGCATTGAAAGCTGTAGGTGCTACTTTAGGAGGTGGTAGACACTTTGGACAGCTAGACAGCTAGGACACAGCTAGAGAAAATAGGTCACTGGGACATGCCTATCTTTTCCCTGCCACGTGTTCTGTTTCTCTCTACTTAATGACTGCCACGAGGTACGAAGTCTTCCTCTACCAAGGCCTTTTGCTGTGATATATATTACCTTACCAGGCCTAGAGACACTGGGAAGCTGACCTTGGACTGAAACCTCTGAAACCACTTGCCAAAATGAGTACTTCCTTTTTAAATCATTTCTCTAGGGTTCTGTTATCCCAGTACAAAGGTGAGCACACATATATCCACAAAGACTGGTTTTTGTGTATGTAACTACATGTGAAGATAAGAAAAGCTTGGTGCTGTTGCTTGGGAGACATCTATACTCTGTGTGAGACACACACACAGTGACACACAAAGACAGATGACAAGACAAACACACACAGAAACAGAGAGGTACAGACAGACAACAACAGAGAGAAAGAGACAGAGACAGACGGGCCAGTGAGCCCCAGGCATCCATCTGTCTCTGCCCACTCCACCCCCCAAAGCACTGGGATTATGAGCAAGTGCCATAATGCTTTGAATTCATATCCTCATGATAACACAGCTATTTCCTCAGCTTTTATAAAGAGTACACATGAACCAAGATTTTAACTGCTTATCAACAGGAAAGTAAAATTAAGAGTTTTTTAGTTCATGTTATTTTTCTGAAATAAACATACTTTCTGAATTAGCAATTCTGTATTTAACTGGTTAGTAACAATCATCTGACTTGGTTATTTTTATTTCTTTGAATTAGTATAAACAATACTCATTTCTTAGACTTCTTGTTTCTCATTTTAAAAAAGAAGGGAAAAATCTTTCTTTCATGGTCAGTATGTTTCAATTATTTTCAAACCATTTAAATTTCTAATATTCTAAACAGGATTGGGATGTAGAGCATGTACAAATGAGCATTTGTTTTTCATGAGGGTTGCAATTTAAGGAGGCTATGAACATGGCATGTTACCTACTAGTGCTTCCTTGTGCAAGAGCATGTCAGAGGCCAGCCTTACCTCACAGTTCCTTCAGATACATTTGGCACCGAGAGGGTCACATCCAGAGAAATCTGACACTGACTTCTCAAGATGGACATCATCCTCAAGGCTTCCACTTCACTCCGGGGAGCATTGACTGAGGCACAGCCTAAGTAAGTTAGTTTACTGAAAACCACACTATCCTCATCAGCCACTGGTGTGAAAGGACTCGACACTTCAGAGTCTGAAAGAAACAAAGTGTATGGATATGCTTCTCCTCTTTGAAAAAGTGTTGATGTGAACAGCAAATAAACATCCAAAAGACACATTTAGGTTCAAAAATCAAGGACTAATTAAGACAGTATGCCATATTTCAGGGGGCAATAAATAAATAAATAAATAAATAAATAAACCCATAGAAGCTAGGCAGCTTACACTAGAACTCTGTTAACACCAAGATTTCCAGGTATTGATGTTAATTCCAAACCTAAAATGTAACCTGAGAATCAGATCTGACTCCTCTTTCCATCTCCTAATTTGTTTTGATTTTATAATTTACAACTAAGCCAAATATAGATTTAGTGTTCAACACTCTGCAGTCCTGATCTGTCCTCTGATCGCAGCTGCCATGTTCTCACTCAACAGCTAGCTCCTTCATGATCTCCTTTAGCATCCCTGCTTTCCATCTAATAAACCGCTCTCCTGGCCCTTCTGGCCCTGGGCTTCTTTCCCATTTCCAGCTTGCTCTCTGACTGGTTATGCATGCCTGGAGCAAACATCTATTTTCTAACATGATAATCAGTCTTCTTTCCTGGAAAATTTTGGTTGTTTCTGATTTTCTGAGACACAGTTTTATACTAAAGGCTGGCTTTGAACTCATCACAAATTTTCTGAAAGACATATGAAAAAAAAAAGGCTTTCTTCTCAGTATCCTGTAACTACTGTTTTCATTCTTTGATATAACAAACAGTTAAAGGAAACTTTTTTATGTATCTGACAACTTCTTAGACACAGAATTCGGAGCTTTTAGAGAACCTACAATAGTTTTCATGTTGCTCTTGAATCTAGTACAGGACAGAACACACTCCATATCAAAACAATAACCTCAGTTACACAAGCAATGCAGTAATCCTAACCTCCTTGTCCAGGTCTCACTGGCAAACTCATCTCTGGTTTCTGAAGCCCTACTAGTGGCACAGGGTTAATGGTGGATGAAGCTGAGAGTTGATTAGAAAGCGGCCCATCTCCTTCACCATCCGGCTGTGACCTTTCCCCTTGCTGGTCGTCCATGGGAGGGTCCATTAGCACATCTGCGAGTTCTTTCTGCAGCTGCTGCTCACTTCCATTCCCTACAATCTAAGGGTCACAAATACACACAATCAGCAAAGTGAGAGGCCAGCCTGATCAAGTGAGGGTCCATGTTCTGAAGCAAGGTATCAGCAAAGATGTTATGCTGGACATCACTCGCAAACAATATCAACAAATAAAGGCTACAGCTGCTCTCTTCTTTCAGTTTTCCATGAAAAAGTACAATGCATCTAAAACATTCAGAAACATGACAATATTAATGTTTTCTGTTTAATAGCTTTCTTAAGGAAAAATGTGCTTGCTTCCAAAAGTTAAAAGAAATGTGAAATACAGTAAAAGCTCACATATATTTTATGACTCCTATAAATAAGTCTCCACTATTTCTGGGGAAGTCTCCCTCATTTGTTTGATATGAGACATGTGCTGAGACATGTGAATAAAGCTGATAGCATGAGTGTGTCAGGCCTGAGAAAGAGAAGTGCTATATTCCAATGATTTTCTTTTTGTTTTTTCAATAATCTATACCCCAGGCCATAATGGTTTATCATTAGTTACTCATAAAAGGAAGTAAACAACTGCAAAATCAAGACTGCTCAATGCTAAAAAAAAATCATACAGGAGCCAGGCGGCGTGGTGCACACCTTTAATCTCAGCACTCGGGAGGCAGAGCCAGGTGGATCTCTGTAAGTTCAAGGCCAGGAAAGGCGCAAAGTGAGTTCCAGGATCGGGCAAAGCTACACAGAGAAACTCTGTCTTGAAAAACCAAAAAAAAAAAAAAATTAAAAAAAAATCATACAGATAACAAAACAAAGTAATTACTACTCTTTACTCAAGAAATATTTTAAAAAGTAATAAAATAATGAACACAGAAAAAAGTTAAAAGGAAGGGCTACATTGGGGGCCATTCTGAATACTGCTACCGAACATTTATGCTCATTATACTTTTTAATTCTGGAATTTTAAGCTAGCTCCTTCAAAACAATCTAGCTCCTTATGGGTGGTTTTGCCTGAATGCCTGTCTGGTGCTGGTGAAGGCCAGAAGAGGCTGGCAGAGTTCCTGGAATTAATGTTACAGACATTAATGGCTGTGAGCCACCATGTGAGTGCTGGGAATCTAACTGGGGAGCTCTGGAAGAGCAGCCAGAACCCTAACTGCTGAGCCATCTCTCCAGCCCTCCTTATCGATACTGTCTATAGTATTTGATGCCACTGCCATGGACCCATCTGTTCTGTAAGCATGACAGTCTATCATTTGTTGGACATAGCAATAAAGACTACTTTGAAACGCTTCTCTCTTTTTCTTTTTTAAGATACAGTTTGTCTGTAGTTCTGGCTGTCTTGGAAATGCTTCATATGTTAAATTCAATGGTCACTGACTAGAAATTTCTGTTGCCTGTTTTTCTTCTTTTCAGTGTATATATATTTTGTTTCTATGTATGTTCCACAATCTTTTTTGTTGTTGGAAACCAGACACTGTAGACAACATATTGTACTGACATACGATCCTGATGACTCCACTTCTGGAATTCTTATTGTTTACATTTGTTGACAATAAAGACGGTGAGAAGAGCTGTTTTATGGCTTGCAGTTCCCTACAGGCAGAAATCTGAGTCACTGCTCAGGAACTAGGAGTAGGGTCAATAACCTTCCTGACTCCTATTTTCTTTTTTTTTACTATTTTTTTTCATTCAGTATGTATTGACCACATTCTTTGATCCCATTCCTCCCAGGCCATCTTCTTGATTATGCCAGTCTGCAGAGCAGATACAGTTATCGACTGTTAGGAGGGAGAACAAGATGGGGAATGTAAAGTGAGATTCTTACAAGTTCCATGACTAAGATTTCCCATTTGCTGCATTTCTTTTCAAAGATTTCCAGAGACTTTAAATGCTATTTTTTATTTTTGTTTTAATAATTGCCACCAGTGATTCTGGGAGTAGGTCATGCTGTTATGCAGGACATCACTCTCAGCCAGTTAGCTTTTTAAAATGCAAATTAGATCATGTCCCCATTCAAAACTTTCAAAAATTCTCCTCACGTTTAGAACAAAGTCCAAAAGAAACAAGCCATCTTGTGGCCCTGCGTGTCCCAGATCACATGGCTTCCACTTTAGTCTGCTGGCTTTGCTGGGAGCTGCTGCCCTCAGTGTCTCTGTATCTGGTACTGCCTTTGGAAAGTTTCTCCAGTTTTCTCCATAGTTTTCTTCATTTCATTCAGGGCTCACTTCAAATGTATTATTTTTTTCTCCTTTCCTTTTAAAAAAAATTTTATTAAAAAAAAAAAAGTCCTGGGGATTGAACTCAATGCCCCTCAATACTGGTCGTTAAAACAGTAACTGTCATTAATATTTTAAATATTTTATATGTATGTGTACATCTGTGTGAATGCATGCTACATTTTACCGATGCTCATTGAAGTCAGAAAAGGGTAAGATCTCCTAGAACTGGAGTTATTTTAACTGTTTTCTTATTTATTCCCTTGTGCATTTACAAGTGATAGAAAATAAAAATATTTTCAAGTGCTGGAGCGATGGCTCGGCCAGCAAAAGATATTGCTTTATTTGCTCACATGTTGTACGGAAAGAACCAACTCCCCTGAGTTGTCTTCCAACTCCCCATAGCGAGTCATGGATGAGCTTAGCCATTAGCACACAAACACACAAAAACATTTTAAAAAGAATTTTTTAAAAATTTGACACAAGTTTGCAACAGTTAAAAAACCACAAAACTCTTTCATTTCTTACCACACATCCTTTTTTCTTAACATATTTACATAAGTTTTAAATTATTAGTTTTAAAAACAGGTTCCCATATTGTGAAGGCTGGCCCCAACTTACTGCTCAGCAGAGGACAACCTCTAATTGTTAATCCTCCTGCCTCTACACGCAAGTGTCGAGATCCCTGTCAAGTGTCAACATCCCTGACTTTCTATGGTACTGGAAAGCAAACCTGGAGCTTCTTGCATTCTAGGCCAACATGCTACCAAGCTACAACCCCAGGGCTTTACTGTCACGACTTTCTTATTTGTCTGTATTCTCAGTATACAGGCTCTAAGAAGGCAGGGGCCTTGTTCACCACCACTTTACCAGTACTTGGCACAGAGAGTTTTCAAGAAGTATTTGTTGAATGAATAGACAGAGTAGAAACTAGAATACTGGAATTACTTGTATTTTAAATGAAAAACTTCAACAGGTAATATTTCCATTTATATCCATGAAGAGCAGAACAGTAATAGACCATGTCGAAAGAAGTAATGGTTCTTTATTTAGTTGAGAAAAGATAAACAGAGTGCTCAAAAGGTGAGGTATTTAAAGCTCTGTTTTTTGGCCTAAATGTTATGTTTTTATTGATTGCAATGCTGACCTGTTGGTGTCCTTACACTGTACACACAAACCTGAAAGAAATAAGCATTGTTGATTGAATAGGAAAAAGAGAACAGTCCTGAAGTTAAAAATGTTTATACCCTAAGAGTTCTGACAAATTTAAGAGAAGCTAGTCAAAATAAAAATCTTTAAAATAAAAAATAACTCATAAGCACATACAAAACTCTTCAACACCACTAGGAAGTGTACCCATGAATCCTCTGTTTCCCCACCTTACTCTTGTTCCTAGGAAGTCCAGGCACTGGATTTAGCAAGGCACATTTAGGCTGTCAAGCCTTACCTTGAGTCCAGGCTTCTCGTCATCACTTCCATTATTTGTGGATGGTGTCTCATCTCCTTGCCTGGAAACCAAGACAAAATCTTCACTATTAAGAGTAGAGACTGAGTCTGAGGAGACACTGATTTTTCCAACAGAAGCCTTGTCATCCATAACTCAAGAAGGAGGTTCAATTCATGAATGGTTAAATATTTTTTAAATGCCTGGAAAACAAAAACCACAAAGATTCACATAAAACGTACACTAGATATTCGATTACTCTCTATTATTTAAAAAAAAAAAAAAAACGGACAAAATAAAAACAAACTTTTTTTTTAACACCTTGTAAAATATTTTACTAGGACACTTGCTACTTGTAATTTAGGCTTTTCATTCTAATAAGGGCATTCTGTGCTATTTGGGTCAAGATAGTTCAGATTCCAAATAAATAAAACCCTCTCTTTATAATAATCCCACCTACCTACAACAGGGCTGCCTTTGGCACATACTACAACTCAGATCTTGGCTTCCAAAAGCAAAGAACTCAACAGTACTCTGGTCTTTAATTTGTAATGCTTTACACATAAAGTTAAAATACTTGGTTATTGTGAAAGTGTCATAACTATATTTCCCTACAATCATCAATACTAAAAATTTAAATACTATGAAGACTATAGCAAACAGAATTTCACATTAATACACAAAAGAGATAAATTCAAGGCAGGGAAAGCAGAAATTCTACAGCTTGGAAATATCTGTCATTAGAAACTCAATCTTCCCTCACACCTTACAAGGCCAGCCTGGTCGACAGAGCAAGTAAGTTCTGGAGAAACCCTGTCTTGGAAAACAACAAACAACAAAAAAGAAAAGAAAAAAAAAAAACAAACAAAAAAACTATAGCTTCATGTTCATCACATCAATAAAGCTAAGTGTTTAATCTTCACAACTCAAATTTTGGCTTAGGCTTTGTTTGTGTTTTGTTTTAGTTTTGGTTTTTCGAGACAGAGTTTCTATATAACAGCCCTGGCTGTCCTGGAACTTATTCCGTAGACCAGGCTGGCTTCAAACTCACAGAGATCTGCCTGCCTCTACTACTCATGTGCTGGGATTAAAGGTGTGCACCACCACTGCCTAGCTGGATTTTTTTTTTTAAAGATTATTTTACATGTGTACTTTTTTTCTCAATATGTATGTATGTATGTACACCACATACAGTACCCAAGTACCCAAGGCCAGGAGAGGGCTTCAGATCCCATGGAACTGGAGTTAAGGATCGTTTTGAGCCATTATGTGGGTGCTGGGACTGAACCCAGGTCCTCTGCAAGAGTAGAGGCACTGCTCCATCCCCTGTGCTTTGGATTTTTAATTGAACATATAGTAACTGAGCATACATCATATGCCAAATACTATTTTCTCTTCTAAGGCTCAACTAAAACACCTATCAAGAGGTGCACCATTCCTAAATATTAAATGGAAAAAAACAAAAACCCAGAAAAAAGAAATCATCAGTAATATTAAACATAAGAAAACAACAACCCCAAGAGAAGGAGAATCACTTAACCAGCTAATGACACTGATAAGGATAGATTGTTTTCTGGACTTTCTGTTGCCTTTTATTTATGTCTCCTGCTTTAAGATTACAGTGTCAAGGGCTGGAGAGATGACTCTGCAGTTAAGAGCAGTCTGCTCTTCCAGAGGACCAGGGTTCAACTCCCAGCACCCAGATGGCAGCTCACAATTGTCTGTAACTACAGTTCTGGGGGGACTCAAAAAACATTAATGCACATAAAATAAAATAACTGGAAAAAAAAACCCGATTATGGAGCCAGGTACAGTGGTACATGCATTTAATTCCAACACTCTAGAGTTAGAGCAGGCAGGTCTTTGTGCACTCCAGGACAGCCTGGTCTTAAGTTGCTGAGTTTTAAGCCAGCCAGAGCTACATTGGTAGACTCTGTCTCAAGAAAATACACAAAGATTATCCAGGGAATATATTTTACAAGTCCAAATATAAATACATAGTGGGGAAGAATATAGCAGTCCTCACTCATAGTTCCAACTCTCAGGATGCTATGACAGAAGGCCTGCTCTAAGTTTGAAGCCAGCCTTAGGTATGTAGTAAGTCCCTGTTTCAAAAATGATCAAATAGGGGCACTTTTGGTTCCTGCAGATGACCCAAGTTCTCTTCCCAACATACAGATGGTGACTCATAACCATCTGTAACTCTGGTTCCAGGGGAACCCCGTGTCTTCTGGCCTCTGTGGGTACCAAGCATACATGTGGTATACATACATACATAAAACATGCAGGCAAAATATTCATAAATGTAAATTTTTTTAATTTAAATGAATACGTAGTACCAGATTGAAAATACTTTAAAATGGTTTTCAGAAAAGCCAATAGAAAATGTTTTCATTCATCCACTCAATGGATACACATTGAACATCTGGTATAGTAAAGGTCATGTTAGTGAAGCAAATCAAAGTCTTAGCATAGAGGCATTTTTTAAAAAAAAGATTTATTTTATGCATATGGTGCTCTATCTGCACATACACCTATATGCCAAAAAGAGGGCATCAGATCCCATTAAAGATGGCTGTGAGCCACTATGTAGTTGCTGGGATTTGAACTCAGGACTTCTGAAAGAGCCGTCAATGCTCTTAACTGCTGAGCCATCTCTCCAGCCCCTGCAGAAGCAAATGTATACAGGCTAATAGATGCTGATTTAGGGTACTAAACTAAGAGACATGTTGGGTAAGCACTAACTTAGACCTTTACTGAAAACAAACTTCAATACCTTCCGGATTTGATTTAGTAACCCTGGTATCTGTACAAGATCAGATCATTTGGTCTTCCCCTTCTACTTCCAGGAGTCTTCATGGTCCACTTGCCCATTTTCACTTAGAGTCAAAGGAAATGCTTCCCTTGCTGATGCTCCCATTACAGTCAAGATTTGATTTTTTTTTTTTAGCAGTATGTTGTTTGTTAATGTCATGATGAATGAGTCCTAATTTAATCTTCACATTGCTATTTTACAGATAATAAATTTGAGTGTGATGGTGTGACTTGGTCAAGGTACTGTAACTGTCAGAAATCAAGACAAAAATTATACTGTTATTGGTAGGTCTCAATGTTATGTTTATCTCTATTAAGATAAACATAACTGTTTAATATCTAATGCCTCAGTGCTGAGAAGTTTCTTTTAGAGTTTGTATTTTACGTTAGTTTTTCATGCTGATTAAGTCTTCATCCTATTTCTGAACTGAATAGTGCAACAATAGCAGAAGGCCTGTGAAAACTCTCTTGAGTATAACCCCAGAGTCTAACAACTTTTACCAGTACTCTGGGGTCAGAAAGATTTGGAAGGCCCCAAGTTCCACTTGTTTCTTTGAGGAGGTGATTAAAAAAAAAAAAAAAAAAAAAAAAACACTTAAGATAATTTGTTTGATTAAAAAAAAAAACTGAAACTAACTGAATCCCTCAGCAGGAATGAGGTTTATTAAACACTATACAGTAAGACTCCTTCTCTCCAGCCTCCATGGACAGGCCATAAGAGCCTCTCCAACCTCCATTATGCGGAAGCATTACAGAAATTGATGCCTACTTCTGCTAATAATCTAGAGACTTAAATTAGTCTTTGTCTTAAGACACTATGGACTAATTTTGTTTAGCTTTAAAATTCCATTTTTATCAGTTAGCACAAGAAGCCATCTACTCTTGGTCCTTCATCTTTCAGCCTCTAATTCCAATTT